AGGAACAGACAAGTTGCTGTCCTTTTGTTCTTCAGTCTAGTTGTGGAGCACGTTGCTTCACTGGCCCAAGTTGACACCATCATTGCGCTCTTCCCGGGTGAGGCAGATCAGTCCCCGGCTTCTGGACTGCTGCTCACGCTGGCTGCTGGCTACACACGGTAGCCCATGGCAATCCACTGCAGCAGTGGCTGCAGCCTGTGCCGTCGCCGGCGACTCACAGCAACCCAGCTCCAGGTTGAGCTGTTGGTCAGCATCTTAGCTGTAGAGGGCAGTGTCACTGACCCACATATGTGGGATCCGAACCGGGGCCCTCTGGCATCCCAAGCCAGCTCTTATAAACTTGTGCATGTAGCAGCCAAGATATTTAAAATAAAGGAAGCTGAATAACAAAAGAGGGAAATGAAATTGAAACTTACATAATCATAGATGCTGCTAATTCATCATCCGGTTGTATTTAGATGTTTATCTGTACATTCTTTGCAGCTTACGTTAAAAAGATGAAAGCAGATGGAATGTTTCAAACCTTGCATGAAATCTAATTATTAAGCACCAATTTCAGATGATTTTTCTTAATTTGCTTATAATGTTTTTATCATAGTATGAGAAATATTAGCAAAAGTCTCAACAAATTTTTTATTCTGTGATCCTAAAGTCTATTTATTCATTAAACATTTATTTTTAACCACTTCCTATAAGTCAGTGACTGACCTAAATATTAGAACCAGAAATATCAAATCCCAAAAAGTACAAAAAATTTTTTTGAAATCAATTACTGTAATTCATCAAATCAGTGGACTAAAGGAAAATCACATGGTCATATCAGTAGATATAGAAAAATCATTTGACGGACTCTAACACCCATTCATTATAAAAACTTAGTAAATTAGGAATAGAGGGGAACTTCTCAACTTAATAAAGACTATCTACAAAAAAACCCTACATTTAGCATCATACTTAATGGTGAGAAACTGAAACCTTTTCTAACAGCAGGTTCAAGGCAAGGATGTTTTCGCTCACCATCCCTTTTCAACATTGTGCTAGAAGTCCTAGCTAATGCAATTAGACATGAAAAGGAAATAAAAGGTATACATATTGAGAAGGAAGAAATAAAACTGTCTTTGTTCACAGATGACATAATCATCTATGTAGAAAATACAAGAAAATAGACAAAAAAACTGCTGAAACTAATAAGCAGTTATAGCAAGGTTGCAAGATACAAGGTTAATATGCAAAAGTCAATCACTTTTTTTATAGATCTGCAATGAACAAGAAGTTTGAAATTAAAACACAATATAGTTATCATCTGTATCCCCCAAATGAAATACTTATATATAACTTAATAAAATATGTAGAATATCTGTATGAGAAAAACTACAAAACTGAAAATGAAGTCAAAGAACTAAATGGGGAGATATTTCATTTCATGTTCATGGATAGGAAGGCTCAATATTGTCAAGATGACATTTCTTCCCAACTTGATCTATAGACTCAGTGCAATCCCAGTCAAAATCCCAGCATGTTGTTTTGTGGATGTTAGCAAACTAGTTCTAAAGTTTGTAATGGAAAAACAAAAGAACCAGAATAGCCAACACAATATTGAACATGAAGAACAAAATAGGATAGTACTCAACCTCAAGACTTGCTGTACAGCCACAGGACAGTGTGGTATTGGCAAAAGAATAGCAAATGGAACAGAATAAAGAGCCCATAAATAGACCCACATATGGTCAACTAATTTTTGATAAAGGAGCAAAGGCTATACAGTGGCACAGAGAGTTTCTTTAACAAATGGTCCTGGAACAAGTGGACATCCATATGCAAAAAAAAATTAGTCACAGACCTTACACATTTAACAAAAATTAACTCAAAATGGATCACAGACCTAAATGTAAACACAAAACTATAAAACTACTAGAAGATAACATAGGAGAAAATTTCGATGACCTTGGGTATGATGGTGCCTTTGTAGACATAAACCAAAGGCATGAGCCATGAAAGAAATAATTGATAAGCTGAACTTCATTAAAATTAAAAACTTCTGCTCTGCAAAAGACACATCTGTTAAAGGACTGTTATCCAAAATATACAAAGAACTCTTAAAACTCAACAGTAAGGAAACAATTTGATTTTAAAATGGGCCTAAGATGTTAACAGACAACTCAGAAAAGAAGATATACAGGTATCAAAAATCCATATGAGAAGATGAAAAGATGCTTCATATCTTATGTCATCAGGGAAATGCAGTTTAAAGCAACAGTAAGACACCGCTACACACCTATTCCAATCGCCAAAATGCAGAACGCTAACGACAGCAAATGCTGGCGAGAACGTGGAGCAACAGGAACTCTTATTAATTGATGGGAATGCAAAAGGGTACAACCACTTTAAAGATGGTTTTATGGTATCTTGTAAAGCTAAACATAGTCTCTGTTTTACCATACGATCCAGCAATCACACTCCTTGATGTTTACCCAAAAGAGTTGAAAACATGTCCACACAAAAACCTGCACACACATGTTTATAGCAGCTTTATTCATAATTGCCCAAACTTGGAAGCAACCAAGTCGTCTTTCAGTAGGCGATGGATAAATAAACTGTGACCCATCCGAACAATGGAATACTATTCAGTGCTGAAAAGAAATGAGTTATCAAGCCATGAAAATACATGGAGAAACCTTAAATGCGTACTACTAAGTGAAAGAAGCCATCTGAAAAGAATACGAACTATGATTGTACCACATGACATTCTGGAAAAGGCAAAACTGTTGAGATAGTATAATAGAAAAATCAGTGGTTGCCAAGGGTTTTTGAGGGATAGGGGAGGGATGAATAATAGGTGGGACAAAGGAAGTTTTTAGGGCAGTGAAAATACTTTGTAGATACCATAATGAAGGATACTTGTCATTTGTCTAAACCCATATAATGTACAACACCAAGAGTAAACCATAATGAAATTACTGTCTTTGGGTGATTAATGTAGGTTCATCAGTTGTAGCAAATGTACCCCTCTGGAGGGGGATGTTGATAATGGAGAGAGAGACCTCTCTCTCCTCAGTTTTGCTGTGAACCTTATAAACTGCTGTAAAAAAAAAGTCTTAATTTTTAAAAAAATTACTGAGTGCTTACAATGTCCTGTAATGGACCAGACTGATGGAGTGGCAAAAGGGCAGTAGACTGAAAATCAGCAGAGCCTGTGTCTAAGTCCTTTTTGTATCACTTGTTAGTCCTGACACCCTGACACAGGTCACTTAATACCATTGAACCTTAACGGATGAGTGTATTCCCTTACGACATTATGGGAATCAGATAACAGACATGAAGGTTTTTTTGAGACTAGCACCTATAGGGACTGAAATATTTATTAACATAGAATTTAATGTTTATTAAACCCAGGTTACATTTTGGAATACAAATAGACCTGTGGGTGAAGTAACTTTCTTTCTGATTCTTTTTTCTTGTATCAGACTTATACCTGAAATAACCTAGAGGGAACTAATAGACTCTTTTATGATTTAACAGCAAAAAAATTTAGTTGGTATGTCTTTATGTTCACTTTTTGTAATTTAGATGCTTTTATTTCTTCCCAAGCTTTAACTTTTGGTGTTATATACAACATGTATGCTTTTCTCTTCTAGAATCCACCAGTGTCCAACAGAAAGTCAGTTTCTCTGAAGAAGGTATTTTCTTTTAAAATGTCATGCCATATATTCTGTCTTTTTTTTGTTAACGTTAGAAGAAATTTTAACAGGTACTTAAGAGAGCAGAAAATAGTGTCTTTCGTCAGGAAAAGAATTCATGCTTATCTGAACTGTTAAATGGGCAGGTAAAATAGTATAGAATGAGTGTTGCTAGCTTTTGTCTGAGTTAATTTTAAGCAAAGCTATTGGGTTGTTGGAAAAGTCATGATGTATTTTTTCTATGTTTTTAGTTGCAAAAATGCGTCATGACTTTTCCGACAATCCAATAGCATCTTCAGTTTCTGACATGTGCTGGCCTTTGATTATGGTATTAAAACAGCCAGTTTTCTGAAGTCTCATAACTAGTTTGAATAGTACAGTACAGTTTAGTGCATTTTTAAGCCCACCATAATCTGAAATTAGTAACCTGCATACTGAAATGTTTGTGTATGGGTATGTATATACACATATGCCCTTCGCAAACACACACAAATACAGACGCACATGTCTGCATACACCAATCTTGTCTGAATTTACACACTAACTATATACAGTTCCCCCAATAAGGTAATATGTTTCCACTATTTAATGCTCTTTTTTTTTTTTTTACTCTTTTTTAAAGCCTCAGAATATAATCTTATAGCTATTACTCTGAATATTTGTTGGGAATATAATTATATTATATGCCTCAGAGAATGTAAGTGAAGTCGATTTTAACTTATTTAAAATTGTATGACTCAGAATAGTAAACATAATAAAGAGCAATTCTATATGTGATAATTAAAAAGGCTTCATCTTAATGTTGAATTGCTTGTTTTCTGTTTTTTGGGTTTTGTTTAACCCAGATCTTTAGATATTAGAATAAAGATTATACTGGTATATCCTTCTTTTTAGGGGACACTGAAGAAGATGACCAAGACAACACTGACAGCGATGTAACTTCTGTTAAAGTCAGATCCAGGGACTCTGTTGAGTCTGAAGGTAACATTGCTTTATATATGTAACTCTTAGCTTTAGGAGCTGTATTTTAGTTAATATATAAAGGTATTCTATGAATTTGCTTTAAAAAAATACTTCAAAGTATTTTATTAAAACTTTTTAAAGTATAGTTTTTAATATTTATTAAAATTACTGATTCCATGTGTATATCTGATTAGTATTGTAATGTCGTGTGATATTTAAACAAATCACTTTTTAGCCTGCTTTGATATTTATGGAATAGGATACTTTTGTGCTCACAAGAAGAGTTATTTGTAGTTTTTAAAAAATTTTTAGAGGGAAACGGATCACATTGGCATTCGTACTCACAGCGCTATCAGGAGTGTTAGTTAGCTTTTGGAAATTTTTAATATACTTCGATAACTACTATTATTGCTGGATGATTCATATTCACACCAAGTTATCAATAACAGTTTCTGATTGTTCATGTGAGTTTGTGTTTAAGTTTATTCAAGGAAAAAATAAATTGAAGAGAAAAAAAATGTGATTTTTGTGGCTTAAGAGGGTGTTGATCGAATCTGTAATTTTATATTTTAGCCCCGTGGAAGAGTAAATCTCCACTTTTCTCCTCACCATCTTTTGAGAATTTCTGTAAATTTCTAAGTTTTACGTAATCATTCCACTTTAAAAAGAAGCTCATAAGCTGTTCTGTGGGCATTTGGTATTCTATATATTTGCCACACTTCCTCATTTTCCTCCATTCTTTCTTGATACAGAAACCCCAAAGGAGATATGCAACACTCTAGCATAGTGGTTAAGAACATGGGCTCTGGGGCCAGAACCCCTGGGTTTCCCTCCTCTACTACTAGGTTTGTGCCCTCAGGCAATTGCTTAACTTCTGTATTCCTCAGTTTCCTCATCTGGATGGTTGTGAGGTTAAATTAATTTATATGTGCAAAGCACTTAGAAAGTACATGCACATAATAAACTCTCAAATTAAGTGCTGTTATTAGTTTTCATCTGTACATTTAATTAGAGACTAATAAAGCCATTCATATGGCCAATAAATTGATGCCATTGCTACCAGCATATATTAATAGCTCTTTGAAATTAAATAAACCCCGGCCTCTGTGATCCCTTTAGAATTCTAATAAATTCTTACTGAAGCATACATACCCACATGCAGAAGAAAACACTAGGTAATAAACAAATACATGAGGCATGTTAAAAAGAATACTGATCTTCCCAGATTATCTTTGGGGCCAGTTATCACCAAAGAGGTATAAGAAGATCCATTGGAATGCAGGAAGAAAATTTCATGTATTTCTTTTTTTAATTTCATTCATTTAAAATGTCTGTCCTTTTTTATTTGTTTTATAATTATATACGACATATCAATTAACATTTCAGTAATGCATGTAAATAATGTTAGAAATTAATAGGTTTTGGAGAATGATGCTCAAAATTTTTTTAGTAATAGGAACACATTATCAAAACTATTTAGCCACCATACCTGGATGTGTCAAATGTTTCTGTCTCCAGAATAGCAATTGGATTGGCTTTTAACAGATTTAGTTATAAATTCCACTTTTATATGAAAAAGTTTTTAAGAAAAGTAGACTAAAATACATAATGTATTGACTACTTGCAAGAGAAATTTATTGATATTAATAATGATTTCAAGAAGATTCATTATTATAAATTTTCAAAATCTTCCCTTACCTCATGCCATGTTCTATATTTTATATATTTTTTTTCTTTAAAAACTGGTCGGGGAAAGACAGGAGAATTAGTGAATTTTTTAGATACAACATGACTCTTTAGAAGCTATTTAAAAATTATGCACCCAAGTGTTGAATTCCTTGGTGTTTATCTGAATCCTTTTGCTCTTTGATTATTCATTTTTCTCTTGAAAATGTGCATTAAAAAAGTTAAGTATGCTTTATATCGTACTATATTTCTGTATTATTTTTTAGATCAAACCAGCAGATCAAGTCCATATCCAGAATCACTTTGGCAGTCGTCTCAAAGTAAGGAAAGCCATGTTTACACATGTAAGAGTCTATCTGTGGGCGTAGTCAACGCTTTCCTCATTTTGAAAGATCCTCTTTTGCAGTTTAATGTAAAATGTTGAAAAAGGGATATGGTAAATGCTTAAAAAACCTCATCCTGCTTCTTTAATTAGAGTAAATCATCTCTGTATTCAACCTTGAATTTGAATTTTTTAAAAAAAATTAAAATTACTGCTTTTAGTGATTTGTTGAATATTCTTGCATGCAGTATAAACTTGTTGATTGTTTTTACTTCAACTGATGTAGCTTAAACCTACTTCTATGGGAATATTCTAATAAGGATATAAAATTTGATATGCAGTATAATTTCAACTCTGTTGTAAAAGTCTGGAAGAATGAATACATAAGTGACAAACCCAGTATAGTAAGTTAATGGTAAGCTAGGTGGTGGGCATATAAGTCTTACAGCCTTGCTTACAACTTTGAAAATTTTCGTAATAAAACGTTCAGAAAATATAACACAAAAAAAGATTGGGAAGTAATATGCTAAAAAGCTAAATGATTTGTTCAGAGTGGTAGAATCATTGGTGACATTTTTCTCTTACTTTTTTCCTGTATTTTGCAGATTGTGTACAATGGATATGTATTTCTTAGGTTAAGAAGAATGATACTGTTTTTTCTTTTCACATTTTTAAATCAAGTCCCAGAATTTGAGTTAGTTATTAATCAGTCAAAAATACCCTTGTATGTAAAATCTTCAAGGACTTAATTCCTTTTACATCACCTTTTTTAAAATACGAGACTATTTTTAAAGGAAAAGCCTTTGAAAATCTGTTTTATAGTCACTGTGCTCATAGAATTCCTATTTGTTTGCTTGCTTGTTTAAGTTTTCAGTAGGTTCTGGGCTTATGGTTTTACTACGTGACAAAATGAATAAGTTGCTGAAACACAAAAATGGTTTGTGGAAAATTACTCTCATTTATCTTATATGTTTGCTTTTTGTTATTCTAAATCTTCAATCGTTGAAGCTTTTAAATGTATCTTCCTATGTAAAGATGCTACACTCAGGCAATGGAATACTATTTAGCTGTGTAAAATGAGTTACTTCTGTATACTAATGAATAGATGATCAAGATATATTTCCTTGAATCTAAAATACCACTGATTTTATACATCACTGAAAAAGAAAAACCATCTAGTTAAACTATGACACATACCATTGACTGTAAGATGCAACCCTAAATATGAAGTGTTTTTTAAAGAGTACCTCTTAGAATAAATGAAAGACAGTATTAAGAAGTATTTTGTTAGTACAGACTGAAGAAAAATCTGGAAGGCTATACATCTGTGTTGTTCACAATAGTATGTGTTTTGCATGTAATGTTTTGCACATAGGCACTTAATGGATATTGATGAATTTTTAAGTTACACATTTCTAGAACGGTACATTTCTTTTACAGCTAGAAATGTACATATATGTATTACAACAATACATATATTGCATTTGTATTTAGAAAAAAATAAAATTGAAAGTAAATTTACATCGATACTTGTATTCATGGATAGAACTACCTTCCTTCAGGGCAGATGTGGAGATTTACCTTGTTGTAATTGTTTGTAAAGCATTATCTAGTTCCCGTTGTGTCATTTTACAATTGTTCTTAAATACCACTCCAAAACATGTGGTAGCATCTTTTACTTTATAACTACTCTGCGATTTCACAAATTTGCTTATATAATATATAACATTATCTGGACTGCCTGGGTTTATATTTCAGCCCTACTGCTTTTAGATATATAATTGAGCAAATTTTCAATTTCAGCTTCCTTATTTTAAAATAGGAATAATAATAGTATTCACCACATAAAGTGTGAGAATTAAGTAAAATTACACTTGATACCTCGTAAACATTCAGTACAACTGCCATTAAGTTGATGGTATTGATACTAAAACTGACTCCTAATTATCCAGTTCCTGAACATTTTTGAAGGTTAGAAAAGGGGAAATGAATACTTTGTCATATATATTGGGGACTGATGAAAGAAAGGGTATTTTTTGTTTTGTTTTGTAGTATCCATGGTAAACAAGCCAAATTCCTGTGTAACTTCTTTATTGTTTTTATTTCCACATATTCTGTGACTTTATCTCTGTTTTCTGTTTCAGGTAAAGACTTCCCAGCTCTTGATAAGCAACATTCAGTGCAAAGTAAGTGGTTGGTGGTTCTTTTATCAATCAACCAGTTCTAACCCCTCTGAGTCTGCCAACACAGAGCTCTAATAGGATTTTAAGTCATTTTATCCTTTTTGCCTTTTAATTCACCACACATTGGTGCTACATGTGATAGTTACTCTGTGATGTGCAAATGTGCTCAGGACAATTTTATCGTAATTAATTTATTTGCAAGAGTAAATGGTTAACTTCTTTCTTCTTAAATAACATTGAAATCAAGTTCAAGTAGTATTGAACTCGGTCATTCTCATAGGCCAAAGCAAAGGACTTGTCCACAGTTTTGCTTTGTTTTTTTTAGATTATTATATATTTATTTTGCTGTGGAGTGGCCCGTTCTCACCGATGTGGTCCCATTGACATTATCTTTTACTTCTGAACCTATTGCTTTTGTTGTTTTCCTCCCCAACTTTGCTTTGCCTTTCTCATCAATTTACCTTATAATACTAGAATATAGTATACATTTTTAAAATATGTGAACTAACTAACATCTTGGTATATTTATTTGCTTCAGGCTGGGGATTTCCAAAACCACCTCAGGAATGGATTGAACAAGCCACAAGGATAAGGAATAGAATGCAAAGTAAGTTGATAAATCTCTACCTGTTATTGAAATATTTTTAAGCTTATTTGCTATTTTTCTTGATTATTTAACATACAAAAATATTTAATTCTTCAGGTAAGCATTTAGGTTGTTTGTGATTTCATTAATAAAGGACAGCTCTGTTTACTATTTCAGTTATTTCCGTCTGCTTGGACTGGCAGGAGATGGATTGGGTGTAAAGTGTAGATAGTGGTGTGAGAAAACAGTGGGTGTTGGGTTCTGACTTGACAAGTTGTCAGTTCTGTCCACCAGCAGTACAACCTGTACATGATAATGAAATTCTGCTCTTTTAACAGTACCTGTTTTTTATTTTTAGCAGACTTTGTTTACTTTTATATAAATAACCACTTGGAACAACTTTGCATACCCATTATTTTAAGTAAATCCACAAATTGTATTTTTTTTTTTAATTTTTATTGGGGAATTGGGGGGATGGGAACAGACAAGTTGCCGTCCTTTTGTTCTTCAGTCTAATTGTGGAGGACATTGCTTCACTGACCCAAGTTGGCACCATCATTGCGCTCTTCCCGGGCGAGGCAGATTAGTCGCCGGCTTCTGGATGGCCACTCATGCTGGCTGCTGGCCGCTCACGCTGGCTGCTGGCTACACACGGTAGCCCATGGCAACCCACTGCCACAGGGGCTGCAGCCTATGCCTGCCAGCTACTCACGGCAGTCCAGCTCCAGGTTGAGCTGTTGTTCAGCATCTTAGCTGTGGAGGGCAGTGTCACTGGCCCTCATATGTGGGATCCGAACCGGGGCCCTCTGGCATCCCAAGCCAGTTCTTAACGATCGTGCCACTCGGCTGGCCCACAAATTGTATTTTCATGTTTAGGTTTAACATAGATTAAATGTCACAGAATTTAAGAAATACCATGAATAGATGTGATGAAACAATCATACTTTGAATTCAGCATCTATTATAATTTCTATATCAATGTGTTCACATGAAACCTTAACTATACTAAAAAAAAAAAATCCATATCTTAAGTGACCCTTCACCTCTATCTCTTCTTTCCTCCTCTAATCACAGCAGGTCTCTCGGTCATCAGGTGTCCCCTTACTTTTATCTAGGTCATACAGAAACCCCCATCACATATCTCTTGCTTATGAAATGACTAACTGCATTGAATAAAATAACCTCTATGGCTTTGTTTTTTCATCGGTGAAGGAGTGGTGCTCACAATTTTTCCCAGCAGTCAAGTTTACCCCACGTATAAGTGAGTTCTGCTGCTGCTTGTCTGTTTGTCCTTGCCTTATGGTTGGCTATCATTTCTTACTGCTGTACGTACCTGCTATTAGAAGACCATTGCATCTTACAGTTTGCCCCTCCTGACCTATTACAGTTAGGAAGCCAAATATTTATTATTTAGCTTATTAGGATTATGTTTATGACCAACATAAAAAATTAGAACTTACTTTGAAAATCTGAGAGATACTGCTGGAAGTAAAAATGTATGAGTTTGAGTATATATAACTATGAAAAGCTCAGAGACGTTTTATGTTGTTCTTAACTACATATTCTGAGGAATTAATAGCAGATAAATTGCTTCCAAATAAGTAAAGTATAGGATACATTGTTGTAAAAAAAAAAGTGTGTATAATTTTTATTTACTCTAATTAAAGACACTGTGCAAATGCAATGCATAATGGAAAATGATTATATTGAAGATCTGGTTGGAATGTAGAAGTAGATCTGTTAGTTGCTAAATTGATAGCTAATTTTTTGTATTTTATGTTTGCATTCCTACTTTGTCTTAAGTTAGTATATTTATAATGGCTTAAATAGTTGTGTACTGATTGATAACCATCATATATATGCTCTACAGTAGATTTCCAGGAACTATTCATCTAGTATAACTGAAACTTTGCACCCTTTGACTAATATCTCCCCATTCCCCCCCACCCCTGCTCCCGGAAACCACCATTCTACTCTGCTTCTATGAATTTGATTATATTTTAGGTTTCTTACGTAAGTGGTATCATGAAGTATTTGTCCATCTGTGCGTGGCTTAGTTCACTTAGCATAATGTCCCTTATATTGTTGCAAGTAGCAGAATTTCTTTCTCTTTTAAGGCTGAATAGTATTCCATAATGTATATATTATATTCTCTTTATTCCTTCATCTGTCAGTGGACATTAGGTTGTTCCCATGTCTTGGCTATTTTGAATATTACTGCAGTGAACATGGGCATGCAGATATCTCTTTCAAAATTCTAATTGCAGTTCCTTTGGCTATATATCCAAAAATGGGATTGCTTGGATCATGTGATAGTTCCATTTTAAATTTTTTGAGGACCCTCCATACTGTTTCCCATAGTGATTGCATCAATTTATAGTCCCCACCAACAGTGTACAGGGTTTTTTTCTCCATGTCCTCTCCACATACCTCTCTCTCTTGTATTTTTGGTAATAGCCATCCTAACAGGTGTGAGGTGATATCTCTTTGTGATTTTGATCACATATCTCATTGTACTTTTTAGTTTGATGTCATCTCCTGGTCTATTTTTGCTTTTATTGCCTGTGCTTTTGGTGTCATATCCATGAAATCATTGCCATGGCCAGTATCAAGAAGACCCCTGCATTTCTTCTGGGAGGTTTATGGTTTCAGTTCTTACATTTAAATTTTTAGTTCATTTAGCATTGATTTTTCTGAATAGTATATAAGGGTCCACTTTCATTCTTTTTCATGTGGATATCCAGTTTTCCCAACACCATTTGCTGAGAAGGAGACTGTCCTTTCTCTGGCAGCCTTGTCAAAGATTGCTTGACCGTATCTGAACGGGTTTAATTCTAGACTCTGTTCTTTTCCATTGGTCTTTGTGTCTGTTTTTATGCCAGTACCATACTGTTTTGACTACTAGCTTTGTAATATATTTTGAAAGTAGGAAATGTGATGCCTCCATCTCTGTTCTTACTCAAAACTGCTTTGGCGATTTGAAGTGTTTTGTGGTACCATATGAATTTTAGGATTCTTTTCTATTTATGTAAAAAATGCTATTGGAATTTTTCTAGGGATTGCACTGAATCTGTAGAAGGCTTTGGGTAGCATGGACAATTTAAGAATATTAATTCTTCAATTGATGAACATGGGATGCCTTCTATTTATTCGTGTCAGCTTTAATTTCTTTCATCAGTGTTTTATAGTTTCCAGTATATGCGTCTTTCACCTCCTTAATGAAGTTTATTCCTAAGTATTTTATTCTTTCTGATGCCGTTGCAACTGGAAATGTGTTCTTAATTTTATTTGTGTTAATTTTGTTTCCTTAATTTACCTCTTATGAGTTATATTAATATTACGTGTTACATAATAACTATTATTTAACTATTCATCATTAATATCATAGTATAGCACGTCACAGCCTTTTTATATAATATGATTTCATTTGATCTTTGCAACAATGGAGTGAGATATTCAAGATAAACATCTGGATTTTTTTAAGTATACAGTTGTAACTAGGGTAATCAATTGAGCTTTATGTGAAAACACTATACCCAGATCACTCAGTAATCCATAATCCATATTTTGTCTCTTTTTCCCGCTTTACAGCATCATCACCAGGCAAGAGTTACAGTATATGGCAGTTTTTCAGATAGAGTCATGTTTCCTTTTACTATAGTTGTACTTATTTTCTTTGTCCTCTTCACTGTGTTGTAGAAGTTTCACCACTCCCATTAAATAATTTGGGTCAAGTACTTCAAGGCTTTCTCACAAAACTAATGGATTAAGAGGATGCTTTGTTGTACTAGACCACTACATGCTGACAATAATTAGGAGGGAAATGGCCTGTGTCTCAAGCTGTCAAGTCTAATGGGCACTTGGATCTTCGGTTGATCTCTGCCCTTTTTTTCTCTTGGTGGAATTTGTATTTTCTTTCTCTATGGAAATACTTAGTTATGAAACATAACTCGTAAACTGATATAGTCTTTCTTACTCCTATCATTAGATGACAGCATGCAGAAATCAGAGCTTGGAAACCAGTTTCCGTCAACCTCCAGCCAATGTAAGTTTGTCTATTCAGTTTTTATTAAGTGAGTCTCTAAAATTGGTGACCCGTAATTGTTTTTAAATTTTGTGACAGCAAAATAACGTAATGCTATTTGAAGAAATTGTATTTTAAGCACTTCAAAGGAAAAAGTATAATTTACTAGCAGTGAAATTTTTTAAGGGCGAACTATATGAAACATCAGGTTTTCCCCTTCACTTTATTGTCCATAAGTAAAAGCTAATAAGTAAATCTAATACTATTAATGGAGTGAACCTTGTTGATTCAAAAAAAGACCTCATATTGCATCACATAATGGGATTATCATGGGTTTTAGAATCCACAGGCCTGTATTTGAATTACATTGGACCACTTACCCTTCTGTATAGCCTTGGGCAAGTTTAGTTTTCTAAGCCTGTTCATTATCCTGAGTGAGTACTAAGAAAAGAACTTAACAGTGATTCTCAGACATTTTGATCTCAATACCACTTTCCACTGGTGAAATTAATAAGCACCCTAAACGGTTGTAAAATTGTGTGTGTGTTTATGTGTGTAGTACCTATCCGTGTTTGTCTAGAAATTAAAATTGAAATTTTTTTCTTATTTATTAATTTATTGTTAAATAATTTAGTAAGAAGAGTGACAAATTGCTTTATATCTTTTTCTAATCTCTTTAGTGCCTAGTTTAATAAAATGGAGCTGGATTCTCATATCTGCTTTTGCATTTAGTCTTACAGTGTATTGTTTTGGTTGAAGTACCTGCAGAAATCCAGCTTTGTACAGATATGTAGAATTTTAATAGTTTTTAGATAATATGGATATTCTCTTTTGATAGTCTTCAAAAATCAGCAAGTGGTAGTTTCTAAATGTTATTTGAGGCAGGCCGAGTGGCTCAGTTGGCTAAGAGCTCACTCAAGAGTGTGAGCCCTGAGCAACAGCGGTTCGATGCCTGGCCTGAGCTGAGCTGCCGACTGGTGGCAGGATGACTCAGCTAAAAAAAAAATAAAAAATAAAAATAAATAAATGTTATTTGAAATGTGAAATCTGAAACCTTGTTAATGAACTTTTTGTATTCTGTTACATCAAAATCTATTGGTCTTTCTTGTACTTTGAATGGAATGTCATGCATTTATCATCTGGAAAATATTGGTTCACTAAGTTATGTAGCTCTTCCAAATGTTGACACATTTGTAATGCAATATAAAAATATTACGTTTGTTAATATCAATACCAACCTCAAGACAAAAAAGTCTTTTAAGAACTAAAAGCTGTCAGGCTCATGGTGGCAGATAACAATATTTCCACAATCCTAATTTTCACTTGAAATCTTGAATTTTACAATTGGCAACTAATATTGTCAGTTATCAGGCTCACTCTTCATTTTCAAAATGTGTACCAGATACCCAAGACTGACTAACCATAGTTTATAACTTGTTCTTTCAAGTAAGAATTCCGTGAAAAAAAGCACTAGTTCTGCTCACAGCTTAGTTGCACAAGAGTTCTTTTTTTTTGAGACAACCATCATACTGTGCTGTGCATCAGAAATGCCTTGTATGTGCTTCTCATTTCTTCACACAGAATATTAAGGTTTGTACTCAAGGGTTGAGATTTAATAAGATAAATAATTTTAACTGCTTTATTTCCCTGGTTGTCTAGTGGTTAGGATTTGGCGCTCTCTCATAACTGCTTTATAAAGGACATTCTTTTTTTAAGATTTTATTGGGGAATGGGAACAGCCAAGTTGTTCAGTCTTAGTTGTGGAGGGCGCAGCTAATTCAGCTCCAAGTCCAGTCGCCATCCGGCCGCCCATCAGCAGCCCGCGGCTGCTCAGCTCAAGGTGCCGTGTTCAGTCTTAGTTGCGGGTGGACATAGCCCATGATCCCGTGCAGCATGGGAGTCGAACCGGCAACTTTGTTAGGAACACGTGCTCTCACCAGCTGAGCCATCCTGCCACCTGTTGGCAGCTCAGCAGCAGCTCCCCTCCGACGCAGCTCACTGGCCCATGTGGTAATCAAATTGGCAACGCTGTTGCTCAGAGCTCACGCTCTTAGCCAACTGAGCCACTCGGCCAGCCCAGGACATTCTTAAGTAAAATGGATAACCTCGACTGCATGGCGGTGAAGAATACAGAGACTGTACTGGTACAGTTTGATGCCACTGCCTGTCATTCATGCTAAGGCATCATTTGTTTTTCCCACCATGGCTTTTTGCACCATCAGTGCAAGTGTCAACATGGTGGAAAAGGTCAGATAACATCTTAGTGTTGTGAGACCCATGAAAGGATCTCCAAGTACCCCACCAACTATACTTTGAGAACTGTTGCTCTAAAAGATCCATAGTAAAATTATTAGCCTAAAGCGGTCGATCAATAAATAGAAAGTGTCGGCCATCCAGAAGCCAGCGACTGATCTGCCTCGCCCAGGAAGAGCGCAATGATGGTGCCAACTTGGGCCAGTGAAGCAACGTCCTCCACAACTAGACTGAAGAACAAAATAACAGCAACTTGTCTGTTCTCCTTCCCCCAATTCCCCAGCACTGTTCCCATCCCCCCAATTCCCCAATAAAAATATTTTTAATAAATAAATAAATAAATAAATAAATAGAAAGTGTAAAAGTATTGTTGCTATCATATTAAGTGATTAAATGAGGGAGATAATCATTATATGAGATTTTATGAGAAAGTACTTTAATAAACTAAAAAGCACTAGATAAATGTAAATTGTTATGATTGCCAGTAATAATTAGGGATGAGTTGCAAACTAAAATTTACCAGCGTTAACTTGCATACCACAAAAGGTAGGCATCAGTGCAATTGAAGGGACAGCTGGCTAGAATATATGCAAAAGGTTCATTTAGATTGCATCCTTTTCTTTATCTCTTTATATACTTCAAAAACTTCAAAAATTCCACCTTGAATAATTAACCATGTGAGCCCTGAGTTTCTAAATTAAAAAATACTTTATAAAGTGTCTTTTTAATACTGTTGACTTCCCTAATATTAGCAGTAGTAATAATAGTTTTGCTTTATAAAATTTTATTATTTCTGACTTGCTTATGCCACTTCATACATTTGAATTCTACTTTTTCCTCTAAGACTTTTTATCATTTTGACGTTGAACAGACAGATGCATACTTTACATATAACTTAGAACCAATGGGTGTGAGGTTTTCTTTGAAAACATATAATAAATTATTTTTTTAAGAAAGTAAATTATCAGCTGCCTTCTTTAAATTTCTTCCCCTTTTACTTAATGTTTATAAAGATTAGTATTGGTTTAAAAAGTCCCTTGCCCTTGGACCTAAGAAAATGATGTTTGTATCTGTCATTTCTTTTTTCCTGAGCAGACATGACCAGAGAACCCCAAAACCCATCTACTGTCAAGATGAAGTGGTGGTGGCCACTACTTCTGTTAGCTGTTTTTGCCGGGATATGGTGGTGGTACACTCCCAGTCCTGAAGTAGAAACCACTGCTGTTCAAGAGTTCCAGAACCAGATGAAACAACTTATGAATAAGTACCAAGGTCAAGATGAGAAGCTGTGGAAAAGGAGCCTCACATTCCTGGAAAAACATCTTAATAGCTCCCAGCCTCGGCCGCAGCCTGCTATCCTGCTGCTCACCGCTGCCCGCGACGCCGAAGAAGCCCTCAAGTGTCTGAGTGAACAGATTGCTGACGCCTATTCGTCCTTCCATAGTGTCCGTGCCATCCGGATCGATGGGACAGGCAAAGCGACTCAAGACAGTGATGCCGTCAAGCTGGAGGTGGACCGGGAACTGAGCCATGGGTTCCAAAATGGCCAGAATGCAGCCGTGGTCCACCGCTTCGAGTCACTGCCTGCAGGCTCCACCTTGATCTTCTATAAGTACTGTGACCACGAAAACGCCGCCTTCAAAGATGTCGCCTTAGTCCTGACTGTCCTGTTGGAGGAGGAGACACTTGGAACCAGTCTGGGCCTGAAGGAAATTGAAGAAAAAGTGAGGGATTTCCTCAAAGTCAAATTCACCAACTCGAACACACCCAACTCCTACAAACATATGGACCCAGACAAACTGAGCGGGCTCTGGAGCCGTATCTCCCACTTAGTCCTGCCTGTACAGCCTGAAAATGCCTTGAAAAGGGGCATCTGCTTATAAGGGGCAACAGAAGAGAAAATCATGTCTCACGTTCTGAGAATTTTCCAGACTTTCTAACCAGAAACAGGACGCTGAGCTCTTTTTGAAAGAACTTTTTAAAGGAAGTTAAGTTCTTACATAAACATGGAACACCTAAATCAATTATTGAATCTATTACTTGTGCTGGGAGAAACATTTGCTTGTTTCCATTGAGATCTGTGTTCATGGTATCTGAGAACTATAGGCGTTCTCTTTAGATTCTGGGTTGAGTCATGATTGCTGTGGTATGACCAGTGGGAAGGACTAGAAAACCCTTCCTAGGACTCCTCCCAGTTTTTAACTTAGACTTTTTACAGTTTGTTGAGTTATTAGTAAGGCAGCTTCTTAAATGCTACCATGGGCTTTCCCATTTTGTTCCTTTTACATCATTTAGGTGTGAGTTCCTTAGTCAGCTTCTGCTTATAGGAACAAAAATAATGAAAGGTCATCTGGGTGTGTGGGTTTTCATTTTCCTTGTTTTTGGAGAGTGGGGAGAAGTAGGCACGGGAAAAGAGAAATTGTGGAAATTGGGAAGGAAAGGGGGAAAATAATAAATCTTCGAGATGAAATGTTAAAATAAGCCACTGAGACGTAGATTAACCAAAGTAATATAAACTCCATTCTCAATGAATTCTGTTGGGATTTATTTTTCACATGTCCTTTTTTTTTCAAGAAATTTTTGGTCCTCCCAAGGATTTTTAAGCATGTATATCCTGAGGTTAAATATATTTGTTCTTTTGGCTCTTAAAGGCAGGTAAATTCAGAGCAATTTATTTTGGATATATCCTGAAGCTTTGTTTTGAATTAAGAAATACAGTTTCTGGGGAAGGGAGGGAGAAAAAAAGTATTTTAGGAATTGATAGATTATTTGTTAACCAGCTTTCCTGGGCTGTTAAAGAAGGATTTAATTTTTGGCGTGTCCACTTGTTACAGTTAAATCCTTTAGGTTCACTCTTAAACAAATATAAAGATTCACTATGCTCGAGAAAAATTTATTAAGAATGCCTCAAGCCAAAAGAAAGTGAACTTTACCATATATGAAGAATGTTAAAATGTACTGCCGTACACTACTGTCCTCTGGTATTTCAGTTTTAACTTTGCATCTGTTACAGCTTTCACATCTATCAACTACTTTGGTTTTCTTCGAATCTTAATATTCTAGATCCAGCTTCTTTTTTCAATTATCTGCAAATCTTTAAATGAAAATACTATTTTTAGAATACTAGAGCCAGTCATTGGCTTCACCATGTATATTTTGAGAATCCCATGAGTAGTAGTAGAGTGTGGTCTAATTTCTTTCTGCTTGGACTACCAGTATTCGTAAATATACCCCTTATTGTAATTGGTTCCTGACTGTCAGAAGTCAGGTCATCTGATTTATAGAGGATTCTAAAACAAGAATTTTTGAAAAGGCTTATTTTATACCTATGTATTATATGGAAGAACAAATGTTTTTATTAAATGTTTCACTGACCAAAATAATTTTAAAGTGATTAATGTTACTTATCTTTCAGGAAAAATAATTGTAGCAGCTGATCTGTAAAAGACTTTAAAAGCTATTTTAGTAATTTAAATAAATTTACTTTCTTGGTTTGTACTCTGTATGTGTTGTAAACTTAATGATTCATAACCTTTTTTTTATTATGAATCCTACTAGAGTTTTCTTTATGCTGGAACAATGTTAGTGACTTTTGCCTGGAGAAACAAAGGCCACAGAATTAGAGCCATTCACAAGTACATTGGTTATAAGTATAATCGCCATGATTTCCTGTTTCAATCAGGGATTGTGAATTATCACTAAATTGAAATTAATTTAGGTATTCCCAACTTGATGACAGAATCTACAACAGTGTTTCTCAAATTTTTCATTCTCACCTCCCTAAAGAGCCTTTTTAGATGTATTTTTTCTAACTGTCTACCCCCATGAAATTCTAATACCGCACATATACTGTATATCTGTTTATGGACGGTATATATTTTTTGCTTGATACAGATGAAGAGTAAGATTTTCTTGGCCCCCATTGAGAATACATGCCCAAGAACATCCGTATTTTACATCATTGTTGCCTAAAACATTCTATTTTCTGTTTATGTTATCCTTTTGCAAGGGAAAAGTTAATAAATCATCAGCTTGAAAATAGGAACTAGGGTCTCTAGAAATTCGGCACATTGTGACTTAGGTGACAACATCGGCCCAGGGAAAACCACAGTACAGTACTAGTCGTACAAATTTCTAGAAACTTGATTTGCTTCCCTTCTTTTAATGACTTTCTTATCATTAAGGAAGTTTTCTAAACTTCTAATCTTCAAAACAAAGTTTGGAAGTCAACTTGATTCATTCTATGAGAACTGTAACTTAGGGTTTACATAGTTCACGCCTAAACTAAAGACATAAAACCCAGTTTTGCTGTGATTTTAGGTCTTTGAAAAGTGGCCTTTATGTGGGCAGTGTGAGGAAGCATTTCCCACTGAATCCAAAAAGATAATACGTTGTTCTGCCATATTGTCCCTAGAGAGGCCATAGAGCAAACTCTTATGGCATAAGGATTCTGCTGCCATTAGCCACCTGGAATGAAGATGTGAGTCCTGAGTGTGGGAACCAAGCTGAGAAAGCTGCCAGTGACTGGGAAAAGAGAAAACGCCCGCATTGAATGCCGCTCTCCCTTTCGCCTGCATTCAGAGAAGTCCCGGTGAGCTTGCGGGCTCTTCTGGATGGTAGGAAAAACACAGTCTATCGCCTCAGCATATACAGGGAGAAACCCCTCACAATTCACACATTGTACTCTTTTTTTTTTTTAAGATTTTTATTGGGGAATTGGGAGGTTGGGAACAGTGCTGGGGAATTGGGGGAAGGGGAACAGACAAGTTGCTGTCGTTTTGTTCTTCAGTCTAGTTGTGGAGGACGTTGCTTCACTGCCCCAAGTTGGCACCATCATTGCGCTCTTCCCGGGCGAGGCAGATCAGTCGCCGGTTTCTGGACGGCTGCTCACTGCGGCTGCTGGCCGCTCACGCTGGCTGCTCACGCTGGCTGCTGGCTACACACGGTAGCCCATGGCAACCCACTGCCACAGGGACTGCAGCCTACGCCGTCGCCGGCAACTCACGGCAGCCCAGCTCCAGGTTGAGCTGTTGTTCAGCATCTTAGCTGTGGAGAGCAGTGTCACTGGCCCTCATATGTGGGATCCGAGCCGGGGCCCTCTGGCGTCCCAAGCCAGTTCTTAACCATCGCGCCACTCGCCGGCCCCACACATTGTACTCTTAACCTCTTGTACATACTCGGAACCCTCTGGAATACTTCATATTCTGCCCTCTCCCTTTCTCCGTTTCATGCTGTGCTAATTCTTGTTCTTAAGGCCGTAGCTTTTCAGGCAGAACTTCCCTGAAACCTTCCCTAACCCCCTTCTCTGAAATATCAGTTGATGCGCCTTGTCTGTGCTCTCATTCAGCTTGTATTACCCCCGACACGGCAGTGAGCCCACTCCCACCACCATATGCCTTTGGAAAGCAGGGGAGTGTTGTCAACATGTGCATGGTGATAATCACAGATACTCAAATATTTGTTGAACAAAAAGTTGGCAAGCCCTACCTAGTTAGCTAGACTAGGTAAGTCGCATCTTTCTCAGTTTTTATTTGCTTTTTTCTGTGATTCCTGCACATTCTTCTAAAGCTTTATATAACTATTTCAGCCTGGATTCAGTGGTACTATGAGTAAGACAAAGGGACCAATTCCAGTGGTGCACTATCCCTGTGAAGTGGTACTGTTATCCCAATTTAATAGACAGGAGACTGAAGCACAGAAAGGGTAAAGTGACACTCAAGACCATCCAAGGAGGGCCCGGCCGAGTGGCTCAGTTGTTTAAGAGCTCGCTCAAGAGTTTGAGTGCTGAGGAACAGCGGTTCGAGTCCTGGCCTGAGCTGAGCAGCCACTGAGCTGCCAACAGGTAGCAGGATGGCTCAGCTAAAAAAAAAAAAAAAAGAATACCCAAGGAGAAAGTGGTGAAGCAGAGATTTGAACCCAGGCAGTCTGGCTTTGAAACATCTGTTCTTACCACTATATAGAGAGTCTCTAAAGCCCTATATATGGTATTTTCCCCCCCAGTCTGTTCAGGCCTTGTATACCCGTAGGTCAGAGTACTTTCCTAACCTGTGGACTCTTTATTTGTGGTTCTCCTCTAAACTTTTTTTTTTCCTACTTGCTCAGCTTTGTGGAATCCCGTAAGAAGTCTGAGTAGTGACAATCATCGCAGTCCTACCTGCTGACTCATATATGCATAAGCTGGCATCATGCTTCTGTAATTAAAGCCCTGCATTGTTAACTCACACTTCACCTTTTTCGAAATCCTTACGTGTAACCTGGGTGTTAGCTTTCCTGCTTGCCACACAGCCTCTGTTTTTGCCAGTCTCTCAACCGCCAAAAGATGTCTCAATTCCTGAGACAGAGTCCATTTGCATCAAAAACATTGACAATTTCGCAGAGACGGCGAGATAAGGGTGTTACGAGCTCAGGACATCAGTCTGGAGTCTGGCTGCCTGAGTCCCAATCCCAGCTCCACACCTTTCTCCCCGAGTGACACTGGAAAATAACTTCTCTATGCCTCAGTGTCCTCATCTTTAAAATGGGGAAAGCATGGTAACTACTGTCTTACAGTGTTCTTGTGAGCATTAAGTCAGTTAATACACTCAGAGCACTTAGAAAGTGCTAAGCACATTAAAGGGTTCAAGGTTAGCCATTTTGGTTCACCTGAATTCTTACCAATGATTCTCCTTTTCCCTCCTGTGTGGCATCAACTGAAGCTGACTTTTCTTCCTGCCCTCCTAGATGACCCTTATTCAGCAGAATATGTGGGCTTTCTCCCAGGTTTTCCATTCCAAACCCCAGCCCATCACAATGTTCGTTAAACAAAGGGCTTCCGGTTACCAGAATCCCCCCTCTCCAAAAATCCGGGGGCATTATAAAGAACGAGAAAGCTTTCCATCACTCACATATCGTTCCTTCTGTTATTTCCATGGTTGATTCTTATCCTTAAAAGCCTCACATTTATTCAAGCATCTGTAATTTGTTGATATTTTCCAAATGCTGCAGAGGCCAACATGTTGAATGCAAAAATATGCCATCTAGATCCCCTTACAAGGAAGAATTGGTTGCCCCAGCTGCTGGGAGTGCAGTCAGTGGACGGCCTTCACTGTCAGCCACTTCATGGGTTGCCTCAGCTGCGGAGAGCCACTTGGTCCAAGGTCATGCCCAGGGATGGGGAGAGGGAGGCACATCCAATGACTGGGTAGATATGAAGGCTTAGCCTTCTCAGCCCAACACAGCACACCTTGTGCAAATGGATGGGCCATTTGTGCTTGAGTTTCCCCATGGGGTTGGCTGAGGCTATCTGGGACCTGTATCACAGTGTGACTTGTCTCCCATCCTGCTTACTTCTCCTCCCACAGGTGTTCATCCGAGGGCCCTCCCTAGTAAACACCCTACACACTAAATTTTGTCTTAGGAGTCTGCTTTTGTCCGTTGTCATACCCAGCTTAAAGAGTCTATAAATGGAGTGAATAATAGCTAACGTTGATTGAGCACTTCCTATGTGCCAGGCACCATGATAGATAGGATACATAGAGAATCTCATTTAATTTTCATAATTCTTTGAAGTAGACACTATTACAAACTTCAAGTTATAGGCAAGGAAACAGACACAAAGCTCTACTGTTAGCAACTGGGGGAGATAGGATTTGAACTCAGGCCGTCTGACTCTGTTTTTAACCACCATGCTATGTTCTATCCCATCATAATATCTACTTCTTAAGGAGCGAAAATGATATTAAACCGTATCTTATAAACCATAAGCATAATGGATGTAAGTTAGAGAAATACTGTCAAGTCCAAAGGATTTTGCTTGATGTCTCCTCTGAAAGTCTTCATCTTTTATAGCCCATAATCTGTCTATTGTTCAGCAGATGAGTCAAGCTGTGTTGTTGAGTGGTGTAATACTTGTGACTTGAATATTACATTGTTTTTTGTTTATTTATTTATTTATTTATTATTAGTTTCAGGTGTACAGAACAATGAAATAATTATCCTTTTCACCCCTCACAAAGTAGCAACCCCCCTCTCCCATCCACTGCCCTCCCACCCCCGATGTCATGCTTATCTATTACAATTCCATTGACTCCATTCCCACTCTCTACTCAACATCCCGTGACTATATGTATATATAATTATAGTTGACATACAATATTATTCAACATCAGCTTCAGAAATACTGTGCGGGGCCGGCCGAGTGGCGGCGATGGTTAAGAACTGGCTTGGGACGCCAGAGGGCCCCGGTTCGGATCTCACATATGAGGGCCAGTGACACTGCCCTCCACAGCTAAGATGCTGAACAACTGCTCAACCTGGAGCTGGGCTGCTGTGAGTCGCCGGTGATGGCAGTGGGTTGCCATGGGCTACTGTGTGTAGCCAGCAGCCAGCGTGAGCGGCCAGCAGCCGCAGTGAGCGGCCGTCCAGAAGCCGGCGACTGATTTGCCTCGCCCGGGAAGAGCGCAATGATGGTGCCAACTTGGGCCAGTGAAGCAATGTCCTCCACAACTAGACTGAAGAACAAAAC